TACACATGTGGCCGACAAGCAGTGGGGTACAAAAAGTACCGAAATGTTTAGTAGATTTCCACTGACAACGACGGGCTGTCGGTGTAGTTCGATAGGTAAGGAGGCAAGTAGAGCGCAAAATCTAGCTTTGGAAAACTACACGACAGTTTCCCCGTCGATTACGGGATGGGCCACCGCGTGCTCCAACAGCCGCAGCAAACGCTGAAGCAAGCCGCAACAGACATTGAGGCAAGCTGCGCAAGCAACATGAAGGCTACAGCAGGCAAAAGCAACGCAGCGAACTACCGCAAAGAAAAACAGGAGTTTAAACAGACTTGCGGAGAATCTGCCCACTCGCTCGCCACTGCTGTGGAGAATAACACACACACACACACTAGGTTGCAGTCTCAAAAATGTCCGAAAATAGTTGCAATTTCGATCAGGATCGGAATGAATTTTCAAAATAAATTGTTCAAATTATGCAGAAATACAGATTTATTTTCAGGGCCTTTGAACTTACTTTCATGGTCCAAAGTAAGAACCATTTGTCACCTAACTCGAGAAATCCCTTGTAGTGATCAGTAATCAAACGCAGACGGCGGAACAGCTGACCATCAATTAAGCGTCTTTGAATGTAAACGTAGGGCAGATTTTCCATTCTCTGAAGGCATTTTGACAGAAGAGGAAGACATAAGAAGGTTATGTACATCTCCGATAAGCTCTCATTAAACAAGCAAAACTACCTAGTACGCTGACCATTCGACTGTTGAAAACAATGTACCCATCCTTTGCCGTCCCTGCCACGTTCTTTCTTCACCCACCTTGTTGCAATGGCAAAGATTATTCAAAGAATATAGCACACAGCAGATAGTATTGCCGACAAAGACAAGGGAGACTGGAATGGCCATTTCTGGCTTATAAGCCGCCCTCGTCAGCCATTCATACCCAGACCCAAGTGGCGTCCCACCCGAGCCTCGAAAATGCGACCTTTCTGATCAGAGTCAAACGCCCTAACCATTCAGTCACGAGCTTGTTGTCTTGCCGGGTTAGGTTGAGGGATATTGACACTCATTGATGCACATTCTCCCGACCGTTACCGGAACTAATCTGTCTTTGCCGGTAATATTATCTGCCTACACTACCAGCTGCTACGTCTGTCAGGGCCTCTGTCTAGACCCCAGGCAGAGGAGGACAGACGAGTCCCAGTAGGGGTCGGGTAAACGTTCATCAATGAATACCAGCCATGGTCGATACTGAGGAGAATTAATTTAAAACTATAGAGGATGAAATAGCCCACACATATTCTACCTGCCAGGACAGAACCAGTAAGCAAACTGCAACAAATCCCCCCCTCAGAAGAATAAGCATATCAGAAACGTAATGAGAACAAAAAGTTTAAAAAAAACAATTGTCTGTTGGAGGTACAGAGCAATTCTTTGCTGTTAGAAAGCAATTCACGCATTCGTGCTGCCTAATCGAGACACAGTTGCAGTTTTTGCCTGTGACAATCGACAAAGAGAAAATGCCAAGGTATAATCATTTACAAAAGGTTTCCGTACACCGTACTAGTTTGCTCAATTGAAATAACAGTTTGGGACAAGTTTACGGTACAGGTCTTGTTGCAGTTTACTCGAGAGTATAAATCTGTTTTCCAAAATATCGCTCGCATTTTGTAGCTGAATAACTTTGGATTTACAGCCTTACTTCTGGGAGATGAGAAGGATCTTAGAAAAGACTCTCTCCGTCTCCAGTTCTTGACACATAGAACCATTCACTTAATTGAGTCATATATTGTTGGGCTGGGAGCAGAGCGTGATCACATAAATATGGGTATTCCTTGAAGCGGGATAACTGTTTACTCACTCGATTTATTCTCGTTCCACCGGTGCGTCTTGTGTGCATGACCTGCATCTGGGTGAGTCTGTAGAGAGCATTCTGATTAATGAGGTATCCCATAAAAAGGGCGTTGAAAAAGAGGACGCAAAACCAGATAAGCCAGATTAGGAGGATGGTCCGAATGGGCATCGGTGTGATGACAATGTCATCGTCCGTAAGTACGGGATCGTAGGCTGTGGAAGGCAGGATAAAACAGAATAAAATGCAGTGATGCTGACAATAACTTTTTACCTGAAAGAAACCAGCAGCTCCTACAGGGTTAACTTTGGAGGCAGCGTTCGAGTCAGCCATTCCAGAATACTGTCGATATGTCAATCGCAGATGACTACTAGAGACATTTAGTAACCCTCTTTCAAGTGTCAAATACTAGATAAATTCCACCACCGCCCTGTGGTCTGCCTAATCGCCAGCCAACTGCAATAGTGTTTACCTGCCTTGCCAGAACGAAATTTAACATGGATATATGAAGAGGAGTAGATTCCATAGAAATCGACCACACCTCATCCCTCAAAGCCCTCGCAAGTGATCACCATGGACACGATGGACTAACTGGTAGATAGTATTGCCGACAAGGACAAGGGAGACTGGAATGGCCATTTCCAGCTTAATAGCCGTCGTCAGCCAGTCATACCCAGATCCACGTGGGGTCCCACCCGAGCATCGAACATGCGACCTTAATGATCAGGGTTAAATGTCGTAACACCTGAGCCAAGAACTTATTGTCTTGGCGGTTTAGGCCGGGGGATATTAATACTTAATGATAAACGTTCTTTGCCGGCAATACTATTTGCCTATAACACCGATTGCTACTGCTGTCAGGGTCTCTGTCGAGACCAAAGGCAAAGCGGGAGAGGTGAGTTCCGTTTGCGGTCGGATGAATGAGTAGTAAATGGTGTTTGATAAAACGTTTTCACCTACTTTATCCATGTTATCAGGATCAACTTTCTCCACGTAAGATTTATATTTGATCGATTTTATATTTTTGCGTGTAGCAGCTAGAAGGATGTAGGATTAGCCCTAGTCTATTTCCGTCGTGAGCTCAAGCCTCACTCCTTCTTTCCCACTTTTTCCAGCATATAGGCTATAATTCTCACAGTCCTTTTACCGCCTCTCCTTTCATCCACCGTGCCGAAGTCAGGGTACCAATTAGTTATTCCGAAGGGGTGCATTTCTAAAATACCCACTAAAGCATCCACGTTTCTTCATTTTGACAAATACCCAATTATAGAAAATAATGTGAGGAAAAGGTAATTCGGCAAATTTCAAACACCAGTTTGCACCATATGAGGCAGAATGTTTTCCTACACTGCAGGCGGGTGTTGTAAATAACCTGTAACTACTTCTTATTCAATGCTATGAAAAAGCAATTTGCATTTAATATTGTATGACAGTAATGGATGCTCGAAGCACCATATAGTTAAATCATCAGGGAAGGATCAGTTTTCAGCAAGGAACATTACATAATGCAAAAAAGTTTCAACGCCAAGCACGTCAGATTATACGGTTACTTCTGTGGTAACCTAGAGCCCTTGTCGCATCAATGCGCATTTTAGTTACAGTTTTCCGATGTCATTATTAATGGTCGGCACAGAGTATGCCTTCTTCTCAACAACCTGATTTCTCCTAACAATCCATTGCAGTCGCTACAACACAGACATAGTTCAGTATATGTAGGACAGTAGGCAATGCCCATGAAGGCCCTATTGAAAAGAGTATGCATAAAATATCCAACATAAGATATGTTACTATAAACTAGAGAGTAACATATACAAATGTACGCTTTCCTCTCCATCCAAACTTCTCACGGCCTTAAGAATTCAAATTGGTTGATCAACACGCCGGCCTCAACCTGACTTGTCAGGTATCAAAAATACATTTTACCGCATACTTGAACAAGAGCGCGGTGGTGGTGGCCGAACCTGATAAACTGGACCAAATGCGAGCCGCCATGTTGTTCACAAGATGGGAAAGCCACACCATGCCGTCTAAACCATCCCCCTTCGCAGCGGTCTTACCGCACCAGGTGGCGGCCGACAGGCAAGGCAGCAAAGGCAACCGAAGCAAATTTCCACAGGATCAGTTACCTCCGCGAATCCTGTGAATTGCAGTTCACAGTGTGTGCGCCACATGTTTTGAACTAAGTATCAGCTCAGTAGTATTCTCTCCTTCTACGCTTTCAAAGTGTCCTCGTCCCAAGTTAATTTACCAGCGGTCAAATGGCAAAGTATTTCCGTGACTAACGTTTTGTGTGGCAAAGACAGTCGACTCTTCTCAATGCTTTTATTTAGTTCCATCAAACTACAGGAACACAGGCGGCAGTGTAAATAAGAAAAAAAAAACAACCCTTGAGGACTACCCTAGTAGCAAGTGCATATCAATTGGACATAAT